GGGATTGAACTCAGGCCCTTACGCTTGCCAGGGAAGCGCTTATTCCACTGAGCCATCTCCCCGGCCCTAAAGGAGGGTTTTATTCTGTAGTTTCAAGCAGTTTTACTGTTTACTCATTGTAATGTTTGTCTATAGATAAGCCCTCAATCTATTTTTGGGGTGTGGTTTTCAAGACAGAGACTTGCTATGCAAATTTCAGGCTGTGTAGCAGTAGTCTAGGTGGTTTAAGCTGGCTTTGAACTTACTATGTACAGTAGTCCAGGCTGGCCTCCAACTCTGGCAATCTTCCTGTCTCAGTCTCTAGCATGCTGGGATGACATGTGTGTGCCACCACACTCAGCTCTTTTTCTTCTACTTGCTGTTAAACACGATTTTATTTTTTCCCTATTAGTTTTACTAATATAAAATTTATCTTCCAAGTATATAGCTTTAGAAATACTACATAATCTATGTAGCTAGGTAGAGCATTTGAGGACCATGTAGCTAATATTTGTGTGTTCAAATATACCATAGTTCTGAAAAATATTGTACTAGTATTAGTCCTCTATTTTTTAAGAAAAAGAATTGTAGATGTTCTGATCTCTGTTAATGTGTCCTAACTAATTTTAGTTAAAATCCCACAAAATTCTTTTTTTTCTTTTTTCTTTTTTTAATTTCTAGAATTCTACAAAATTTAAAGCATTACCTGTTTCAAAATTGTAGGTTTCCTGTTAGGTACATAACCATGGTCATTTTAAAAATATTCTTTGAAGTAAGTTTGACTGTTTCTCACATTTTTACTTTATATCCTTAACCTTCCTTTATGTCATTTTAATACTTGCATTGTAGAAGGATTACCAGAACACAGAGGAAGTGTGTCAGTTACAGGCTTTGGTGAACAACTTGAGGGAGCTGATCACCCTGCATAGGCAATACAACTGCAGACTGGCCCTCTCTGACTTAGAGAAGGTAAGAGCCCAGGCTCAGCAGTAGTGTTGTGCTCTTGGCAGCCACTTGTGGCAGGAGGCTGCAGTTATGGCATCTTT